TTATTTTTCAAACCCAGCAAAAAGTGTCTGAAATACATACATACATGTGTCGACTTCCGGAGCCGATAGTTTGCTGCATATCACCATCGTTATTCTGCTCGCATTCACTATTTTTTTTACCGATAACCTTTGATTGAATTTAAGTTGCAAATTTTATTTATAAAGCATTGCTTCATTCTCATTATGCTAGGAAGCTTTTCTATGGACGTTTAATTCACATACATATGTGTGTATATGTACGAGTACCTACTACATTTGCCAAAATTTTATTTTATTGTCTTCAGCATTGTTGTTCCAATTCAAACTAAGTATGTATTTACATATTATTCATTTTAAAAACAAAGAATCATTGAAAGCACTTTAACCCTTGAATTTAGTACAAAACTAAGCTTATCAGGAAGCTAACCTCCAACATCTCCACTAGTATGTATGTATGTCTGTACATAGTATACAGGCGTGTTTGCACGCACGGACAAATGCGTGTGGTGTATGCGTGAGTATGTATGTATGAACGCTCCATTGGCGCCAATAAATAAATTGTTCTAAAAAAATCATTCAAGCAATTTGATTCAAGGCTATCACTTTAATTTGTAATCTTCACGTTTTACATAAATATACACAGCTCAAATGTAAATGTCTGAACAACCAATGTGGGGTGTAAGTGATCGACATACGGACATACATATCTACACTAATGCACTAGACATTTTTGTGTAGCACTAATTGATGTACAGTGTTGAAACCCAGATTGATTATATCAACTCAATCTTCCACTGAATGAATATTAATTAAAATGGGTGGTTTCATATACATACATACATAAATATGTACTTGTATGCAAATCTATTTCAAACATCAAGAAAATAAATTGATTTTTACTAAAGAGAACAATGAAATGAAAAGTGTTTGGCGAATCGAATTTAGGTCAAAGTGATGACATAATCGAGTATTTATTATAAGCATAAAATTTATAAGCGAATAAAAAATAAAATATATACACACGTACATATACATATATATATATGTTTACATAAGGGTAAGTACAGTAATATTATCTGCCGAAATCCGCATTAATACGTAGGTATGATCAGACTCTGGTTTACCTATCTTTGGAGCTTGATTTAACGTGGCGCGTCCCAAACCCAGAGCATACTTGGTGTGAATGCCGGAAGTCGTGAGCTGCTTGGGTCGAAATCCCTGTTAAATGGTGATCAAAAACTTTCCTAACATGCGTAGACTTCAGCACACGGAACCATCCTCCGGAGGCCGAAATACGGGAGTGCGAAGATCTTCCAAAGCTGGTCGATAGAAAAAGCGCCTGAAAATTTTACCAGAAAGTTAAGCGCCTAACAGGGCGAACTGCAGCCGAATTCCAACATTCTCTGTCGGCAATTTTGATCGCGAAAAATCTCCAAAAGATAATCAGGACGAGATCCGAAAAGCAATTACGCGGCCAATAGTGAATTTGCCAGGCCTTAAGCCAAGCCTATAGGGTCCAGCAAAGGACATTGAGATTAAAATCTTCGGTAATCTATTTATCAGAGCAAATTCTGCTTAACAGCTGGTATATAGGCCCGACCAGCTCTTCGCCATCAAATTGGACAGTTCAGTTCTAGGTGCCTTGTTGCTTTTAAGCCTTATTATTACTGTTCTTATCTCACCTTAGTCGAGATTGTTCACTTGTAGACAATTGTAAGTAATACATTTTTCTTGCTGGTTCTACCCCATTCACGTTTTAATTAAGAACTAGGCTCCAGAGAATAGATATCTTTATAGCGAACTTGCAACATATAAATATATATGTATGTACATTTGCTTCTCAGCAAAGCAATATCTATACAATAACAACAATTACTTGCCATAACTTAGCTCAGTATTATGCAGCATGGCAATGTCGCCAATCATTATAATATGTAATTGAAACTTTTTTAATTCCACCACAAGCAAGATTAATGCCAGGCGCACACTTAAGAATTCGACTCTGTGTACTTGTTACAAATGGCGCTTAAATATATAAATGTGTGTAGGTACATTAGACCGTACAAGCTTACAAGCAAACAAAAAAAGTTTACTTGTCCATTTTATTGTGACGCATTAATATTTCTTTCAATTGATAAATTGATTAGCAACAAGAGTTTACGGGGTGTGCTTAGCTTAGGTGGTTAGCGTTGCTGGCTACTGAAGTCTAGAAAAAAGTCTGATGAAAAGATGTGGTGATCTTCGAAAGCAGCTATAACTTCTACCGCTTAGACTTAATTAACGACTGAAATTACCGAAAGTCCTACAAAAAAACAAAACTCCCCTGTCAACTTTCATGTGTATGTGAAATCCCCATTTCGCTAGCTAGACGAACATTTAAAAAGTTATAGACGAACATATCGTCGGTGATACTGCAAAACGATTTAGGTCCGTGAACGAACGAATAAAGATCACCCAGGACGGCATGCGAGAAAAAAGTTATTTTTTTTTTGCAGTGACGTAATTTTTTCGCCGCCATGTGAATGAAATAACCGATTAAAAAATGACGTTATCAACTATTATTATTTTTTATATTTATTTTTATTTTTTATATTCGTTTATTAGGGTGTGATGATTTGCAGATACATATATGTACAGATTTATTATTTATTTAGATTTATTTGCTTTAAGAATAAAAATATTTTTAATTTAATTTAGTTTTTAGAAGCTTATTTTACTTCTTTCTTTCATTCATTAATAAAAGAATCTTTGTCTTTCGAAAGAGTGTGCTGAGTTGCCAGAATTACCCTGTTAATTTATTCGACCGAAAGAAGAAACATTTTTTCTAAATTGCCTTCCAAAAAGACTTTAGATTAAAGGTGTACGGCGAACTTTTTTTCAGGTACGGTCTAATATACATACATACATACATACTATGTACGAGCTGGTAATGGTTTTGTGTCAACGGATTTTCTTGCAGGGTAAATATGTATGTATGTGAATATAAATGGATTTAATTGAAATTACACGCATATTGACTTGATGGGAATTACTTGAATGGAAAGCGTGGATGCAAAGTAAGAAAACGCTTGCCAACATGTGCTTACAAATTGAAAATATTGCACATAAAATATGTATGCAGTGCATTTGTATGTACTCTCAACTCCTAAATAGACGTCTTCCCACAGCCAGCGAATGACGATGGACAATGAAAAAATAAATATGTATAGTCAAATACATACATACATATGTATATTTGGAACATATCTCTATATATATAGGTATTATAGATATATATGTATGTATGTAATTTCTAGACCCTATCGCAACGATCGATGGAACAATCGCAAAAGCTTTTAGTGAAACATCAATATGTATAGGGACATTGGTCCGCTGATCGCCAAATGGTGGATGAGTAACTGCAAAATTTCATCAAGTGGAAAGAGATACAGTCGACAGTTCTCTGTGTGTCTGGCAATGCAGCGGTCAAAGTATATACGTCTGTATGTATGTATGTATATACTTATAACTTCCATAAAATTGAGTTTATATAAACATATCGGCAAAATTAGAAAATAAAAGGCCATCCGGGTGGTCTTATTTCCGATATTTTGAAGTGAAGGACCTTTCTTGCTCGATTTTTCCCCCGTTTTTATTTTGTAGGGAATAGCCAGAGTTTTAAGGCCTTCTGAAAAAGCTTCCTTTAGATAGGAAAAATTTACATGAAATAATAACGACACAACTCAAAGCAGGACCCTTTACACGATTAATGTAATGATTGCCCTTGCTCCCGATCACCAGAAATTGTTTGATACCGGCTCTGAAGTCGCTTTTAGGATGAACTTCGCTTGGGCTCCAACGAATTTGTATAAGTTATAAGACTATAACTAGAAAACTACCCTGAAGCAGTGAGCTGTTTTATGATCGTACTTGGTTTGCACAATACCAGACGCTAAATAACCCTTTAACGGTGTGAACTTTTTATGTTGCTTCTAGGTCTGTGCGACTATTTCTATTGACCGATTTCTGAGATCAGGCGTTCTTCAATCAAATTCTGAGATAGGGCGTTCTTCAATCAAATTCTGAAGTAGCGAATTCTTGAAAAGTTTTCTGGGATAGGGCGTTTTCGAACTGGCTGCCGAGATAGGTCGATCTTCCACTCAGGTGTCGATATGAAGATACTGATTCCCGGCCCTCATCTGATGGATGTCTACTGGATATGGATATATACCCACTTACATACATACAAGTGTTTGTAAATGGTTTTCTTTTGATGTTGTTGATCATACTGTTTATTGTCAAAGCAAAAATCCATATGCTTATATCCTCGAAATGGGTCAAAAGTCTCCGACAATTTTTTATTGATCCACATATGTACGTATGTATGTATGTATGCACATATATGTGCATGTGCGGATAGTCTTCAGCACACTCCCAGACCACTTGACGCAATATGCTACACAATAAATAGCATTCCAAATACGATTCAGTTGAACGAAGAAGAGACATTGAAAAATGAAATAAAAAAATAAAATAGTGTCGCTATAGTAATTTAGCTTGGAGACAATCGCGCCACAAATGCCCCTTTCGGCTTAAGAGGAAATCTACTGCGGGGGAAGAGCTGCGTTTCGTTGCTGAACTAAAGCAGCATTGAATTGAAGTAAAATGATCGATTAAGGCGATCAGCAATGTTGATAGGGTGTTTGAAAATTTTTCTGCCAACAACATTCATACTATGTATGTATGTATGTATGTATGTATGTACATACATATGTATGTACGTAGATTGATTATGCCTTTGCGAGTGCGTATACATAGATGTGCCGGTAGTCCTACATAAATACATATGTATGTATGTAAATACACGCAGCACAAATAAAACTACAAGTAAGCATAAGTATTCGTAGCCTGTCTTTGCAATCGTATTGAAATTAATGTAAATCTATAGAACTCTTTTTTTTTTTTATAAATTCTTGTTCTTATTCTTTACAAAGACATCGACAATTTCGGAATGAACTTATTCGTTGATTTCAATTGGAGCTCTCCAATTGTGGGGCCATCGTTCGGCATTGCTGTTATTCGCAATCCAGCAGTTGTCGCGATCGGAAGCCCTAAAATCGGAATAACTCCTCGTAAGGAAAATAAATATAGTAAAAGAAAAATATGTATTGAAATATATGTGTATCGCTCAAAGGATGTGAATATTACTTATACATACATACATGCATACTTATAAAAAGTGTAAAGATACGAAATAAAAAGTCTGTGATAAAGAGAGGCCTGTGCTTTTGTAGATGAAGAGATTGTTTCTTGAAAAGAAATACATACATGCACGTATCCTTGAGCAAAGAGAACATACAAATATTAATTGTGCATATTAATTTGTGTTAAAAAAATACATAGATATTATATAACGCACACCTACATACATATTTACATATATGTAACATAATGTGATAACCAATTACAAATAATGAAAAATAATTACAGATCGAAAACCCGTTTCTTGCCGAAACAATAGTGGAGTGCCTAGCTATCGAAGATAATTAAATTGGCGATTGTGTGCGTGTGCTAAGGATAACAATGTTGCCCTTTCGTTGGGCTTTCGTCGGCATCGCGCTGTTGATTGCAGCTACAAATGGAGCAGTTATAGTAAGTGTTAATTGAAAGTGTGACTCATACAAACTCAAATCGCAACATCCTTACATGAATTTCAGACAAAAAGGAAGTGATCAAAGTGATATGTATGTAAATTAACAATGAATTATAAAGTGTGGCGAAAACTGTTTACTATCTTCCTAAACATTTTAAATATGTTCGTCGAACGAAAAATAGGACTTTAAAATCATTTATGTATCTACAGTCATGTGAAAAATAACAGGGACACGATATTTTGACCAGTTTTGGCTAACAACGCAATCCTTCAGAATTAGAGCTCTTGTTAAAAATCGACTATCCGGCTATTCGGTTAGTCGACTAGTCGTTTAGCAACTTTTTTGTCGGTTGATAGTCGAATAGCAATTATTCGATTAACCGCTCGAATTCGACTAACAGCTCACTATCGAGTAGTCTGAAAATCGACTAACCGAAATTATTCGAATAGTGACAGTTTTTCACCATAAAATTATTGTTATTAGCGTGGTTGGGTTTTGTCAATAAGCATAAGTATTCAAAAAATATAAAAAAAACAATGTTTACTGAACGAAAACGACTAGTCGAAAAATCGAAAATGAACGGATAATCGACTAGTTGTTTGTGAGCGGTTAGTTGAAAAAGTCGAAGGGAAACGGTTATTCGATTAAGTGAAGTCGATTATTTTTTGAAACAACTTTTGCTATTCGACTAACCGATTAGTCGACTAGTCGACTAACAAGAGCTCTATTCAGAATACTTGTTGACTCCAAGCTCGTAACCAATGTATACGTCTTGTTATATTCCTAAAAATCGACAACTCCAGAGTTTTATCCACTGTCCAAATATTTGCATTACCCTTTGAGAAACACATGCGAGAACTTTACATCAAAATAGAACCATCATAAATCATAATTTCCTTAAAAAAAATAAAAACGGTTAAAGTCAAACACTATGTGAAGTAAATTAAAAAAAAAGTAAATTTACCGGTGGAAAATGGATTATGAAATGCTTGCATTTTTTTCTATAATTCGCAAATAAAAATGGAGTCCAAATGCGAGTGACTATAACTATATAATTTAAATACTTGATTATACACAGCTATTTTTGTGGCTTCTGGATGTCCTTGACCAGTTAGTATATACTAAGCTGGCTCACGTAATGAGCTCTGCATTCGGCTTAAATTATTTTAAAATTATTTTAAAGTTTAATTTTTGCAAAAATATTTAAAACTTCAAACTTCGCTTTTTTTGTCCGTGAAAATTTAATGCTGAACAGAGCTTTAAGCACTTGTGTACATATATGGGCATATCTATAGAACTTTTGATTTTCGACATTTGAAAAAAATAGGTTATTTCATCTTTGAAACATAAGTAAAAAAAGGGATACTCGGTTTTCAAGCTCGGTAATATAAAAAAATAGAATAATAACAAGTAATTTTTAGCAAAAAAGAACCGCCAAAAAAAAATATATATATATATATATATTTAATGATCCAATGATCGGATGTAAACCAAATTAGTATGGGGCTATCTCTGAGACACTCCGACTTTCCGATGCAAAGTTTTCGAAATCGGTTGACGCGGTCCAAAGTTATGCGGTAACATACATGAAAAAAAAAAATATACCGACGAACTGATAACCTCCTCCTTTTTTGGAAGTCGGTTAAAAAACGAAATAAACCACAATAGGTGTTCAATATGTTTCTATGGTCGCTGAATACGACTCTGCAGTCCTTTTTGATCCCTCACTTCAGAATTTTTTTCTTACCTCAAAAATATGGTGAATTTTATGTGACAGCACCTTTTTTATAAATATTGAGTCAGATTTTCAAAATTTAAAATGGTGCATCCAATATGGTGGTCAAAAGTGCCAAATTTTATAAGAATTCAGTTTTAAAGGGTCAAAAAACCCACGGATACCAAAATTAAAGTAAATTCCTAAAAATTTAAAAAAGTTTGTCTGCCACGTAAAGTCAGCCACATTTTTCATGTTTAGACAAAATTCTGAAGTAATGGAGCAAAACGGACTTCAGATTCGTGTTCAGCGACCCCAAAAACATTTACACCTAGTCTGGTCAAAATAAGCTCGTATTCTTCTTTTTCGTGGTCCTGTCGGTCCCTGGAATAAATTAGTAATTTCGGTACTTTTTCGTACAAAATAAACGTTTTAAAGCTAAAGTTGTTCAAACACTCGATTTAGTTTTTACTGGAACTCCATTGATTGAAATAGTAAACGCAAGAATAATGCTTTAGTGCTTTTTTCTGACGAGAGAAGAGAGTGACACTAAAAAAACAAAATGAGATTTGTTCATATGTATGTAAATAGGAAAATCTCCGAAACCACCCGATTTTGTGTTACTTTTTTAAAATTAATTTAAATTTTCCAATAGAAAACATTTTCCTCCATTTTAGGAGCGGTGGGAGGATAGTATCGGACACCCTGTAGCCGCATAAAAACATATATTTATTGACATAAAACAAAACAAACATAAAATCGAGTTTAAATATAAAAATTAAGAACATAACTCAGTTTTAGCTGCAAAGACGAAAATTTTGAACCCCAAATTCTTCCGAAGTATGTAAGCTTTCTAACCAAATAGGCGTGGTAGTAATAAACTTTTTATCGCAACCCAGTGTAGTGTGCCTGACCACTCTAATGCATGTGCATATTGCTGACGCGA